TTTGCCCAGGACACAGACTCTCTGAAAATTAGTATAGATCAAACAGAACCCACTGCCCTGTGAGACAAGAAATAGTAAAACAAAGTAAAAAGGCTGAAAAAGTAGAAGAAAATGTAGGTATCTCATAGCAAAACAATTGACCAGGAAAGTAGATTGAGATGACAAAATTTAAGAATCACTGGACTACCTGAACACCATGCCCCGCCCCCACCCCAAAGAAAAAGATCTTAGATACCACATTTCAAGAATTCTTAAAAAAGAGAACTGCCCAGATCTCCTCGAACCAGAGGGCAAAATAAAAGCCATTCAGTGTAAGGACCAATCATCATTTCATGGCACTAAATGATAAGTTGTGCTTTGTTTATTTGTTCAGTCATGTCTAACTCTTCATGATCTCCATGGACCACAGCACACGAGGCCCTTCTATCCTCCACTATCTTCCAAAGTCTGTCCAAGCTCATGTTTGTTGCTTCCATGACAATATCTATTCATCTCATCCTCTGCTGTTCTTTTTCTTAAAAAAATAATTAATTTATTTTAGTTTTCAACATTCACTTTCATAAGCTTTTGAGTTTTAAATTTTCTCCCCCTTCCTTCCCAAGACAGAGTGCAATCTGATATAGGTTCTACATATACATTCCTATTAAATATATTTTCACATTAGTTATGGTGTAAAGAAGAATTAGAACCAATAGGAGGAACCACAAGAAAGAAGAAAGAAAACAAAACAGAAGAAAAAAAAAAGCAAGTAGTATGCTTCAATCTGCATTCAGATTCTACAGTTCTTTCTCTGTATGTGGATAGCATTTTCCATCACAAAACTTTTGGAGAAGTCTTAGATCCTTGCATAGCTGAGAAGAGCCAAGTCTATCAGTCTAACAATGTAGCTGTTACTGTGTACAACTTTCTCCTGGTTCTGCTCACTTCACTTTCTGCTGTTCCTTTCTCCTTTTGCCTTCAGTCTTTCCTAGTATCAATCTTTTCTAATGAGTTCTGTCTTCTCATTATGTGGCCAAAGCATTTAAGCTTCAGCTTCAGTATTTGACCTTCCAATGAATAGTCTAAATTCATTTCTTTAAGTGTTCCCTGATTTGACCTCTTTGACATGCAAGGGATTTTCAAAAGTTTTTTTCGGCACCACAATTGAAAAGCATTGATTCAAAAGCTTTTCTTATAGTCCAACTCTCACAGCCATACATGGCTACTGGAAAAGCCATAGCTTTGACTATATGGACCTTTGTGGACAAGGTGATGTTTCTGCTTTTTAATATGCTGTCCAGATTTGCTATAGTTTTCCTTCCAAGGAGGAAGTGGCTTTCAATTTCATGGCTGCGGTTACTGTCTGCAATGATCTTTGAGCCCAAGAATAAAATCTGCCACTGCTTCCTTTTCTTCTCCCTCTATTTGCCAGGAAGAGATGGGACTAGTCACCTTGATCTAAGTTTTTTTAATGTTAAGATTCAAGCCAGGGGGTCACAGAGTTGGACACAACTGAAAAGTGACTAAACAACAAACAACGAAGGCTATATGAATAGGCTGTTCTCAAAGGAGGAAAGGCACGCTATCAACAACCATATGAAAAATGTTCCAAATCGCAGATAAGAGAAATGCTAATTCAAACAATTCCGAGATTCTACCTCTTACCCATTAGACTGGCAAAAATGACACAGAAGTAAAATGATAATTGTTGGAGACAGAAAAGGACAGGAATATTAATATATTGATAGTGAACCTATGAATTGATCCAGCTAATCAGGAAATCAATTTAGAACTATGCTCAAAAGTCACTACACTGCACATAACTGTTGACCCAGCAACACTACTCTAAAGCATATACTCTCAAAAAGATCAAAGAAAGAGGGAAAAGACTCAAGTGCATAAAAATATTTATAGCATCTTTGCTTCTACCTTATGACCCCCATCCCTGTTCTTTCTCCTTATCATGATCTTTAATCCTCTATTGCTCAGTTCTGTTGCCAGATATCACCCCTACAATGGCTGAACTCCCTCCCCACCTCCCCTCCCTACCTCTGTCCCTCAGTTCAATTGTACACTGTCCTCTATAGTCTCCTGTCTCCTTATCCTTTCATCGATTATACCTTCTCAAAAACCTCAACCTTGGATTACTCCCCCACTATTCTTCCCTCATATTCAACAGAGATGGAGAAAGTCAAGGAATCATACTAATTGGGTCCACTGTGGGAATTGCAGAAATTGAGCAAATCACATTGACTCCATCCTGTGACTCAATTATGGATCTAGCTCAGTTCCCTTTCTATTCAGTTATGGGTCTAGTTCAATTTCTGTCTTGTGAGAAAACTTTATTCAATTATGGGAACTGTGAGACAACTTTATTGCATTGTTTGAACATAGCCCTGTGTGGTTGGGAAGCTGGATCACCTCTACCTGCTGCTTAGAGACCTTAACTAAGGATCTAGGTTATGCTGACCAGAAACCAGATCAGATCTGAAGACTGATGCAAGTTTTCTCACAATTATACATCTCAAACAACCCATCTGTCTTATCTGAAAACTGGCCCCATATTAGTCAATTAGTTACTGTTCCCTTGTTACTTTCATTGAATACAGACACCTGGAGGAGAGTGGGGCACCTCTTTTTCTGATTTTAGGGAATTGTACTTCTTCTCTCTCCTAGTCTCAACTTGGAAAGCCCCTAAACTTTCCTCCAATTAGTAATCAGATTACCTAATTTTCTATCCTTCCATCTAATATCTTTTTAATTGGTTTTTTTAATGCATAAAAATCTGTCTCCCCCTGTATATTCAGGGTCCATTGCCAAACTGAAAAGGCCTGGTTCTGATTTGTTATACAATTGGCTTACAGTGCTTAAAAAATCGATCTGCCCAGAAGCTTGAACCTTTGCTTCTTCAGTCATTTCAGATTTCACCTGTCACTGCCCTACAAATCTATGTTACATAATCTCAGCAGAAACCTCCCTCACGGCAGCAAGGTAACCTTTCACACCTCCGTAATCAGTTTGCTATCCTACTCACCACAAGAGTTATTCCAAACATTTTCATTCCTCCTTAAGCCCACCTTGGCAGCCCCTTTCTCCACCCTATCATCTAAGGACTTTGCCTCATAATTCACCTAAAAAATTGAAGCCATTCCTCTAGAGTTCCTTCTTTTCTTCTCCTCTTCATCTTATATCACTCAGGTGTCTACCCCTACTTCCTCCTCCCTCATCCCTGCCTCACACAAAGTCTCTTTGCCAAGGCCAGTCCCTCGACAGGTACCCTTGATCCCCATCTTCTCCAGCAGATTGTTCCCTCTATCATTCACACTCTCTCACGTCTCGATGTCTACTGGCTGCTTCTCAGGTGCCTACAAACACTCTAATGTCTCCTCCAAATATACTTAGAAAACCCTCCCTTGATCTGACCATTATCACTGTCTATCTGCTGATATCTCTAAACATCTTGAGAAAGCCATCTACACTAAGTACCTCTGTTTACCATTCTCTCAACTCTCTTCTGTTTCCTAGTCTATAGTCTGGTTTCCAATCCCATGAAATTGTTCTCTCCAAAGTTATCAATAATCCTGTAATTGCCAAATCTTATGGGCTTTCTCAGTCTTCATTCTTTATCTCTCTGTGACCTGTAACACTGATGATCACCTTCTTCTCCTGGATGCTTGCTCCTTTCTAGGTTTTTGTAACATTCTTTTCTCCTGGTCTAAGTGATCCTCTTCAGCTTTCCATTAACTGTGGATGTCCTCCAAGGCTCTGTCCTGGGCTTTCTTCTCTTTTCCCTCTCTCCTATCTCACTTGGTGATCTCATTAGCTCCTGTAAGTTCAATGATCAACTGTGCATTTGATTTGTGTGTCTATCCACCCCTAACTTCTCTCCTGATCATCATTCTTCCATTTCCAATCACCTCTTGAGAGACATCTCAAATTCTACCTGTCCAAAAAAAGAACTTACCTTCACTCTCAAAATCTCCTCTTTTCTAAACTCTCCTATTGCTGTTGAGGGCATCACCATTCTCCCAGTCATAAAAAGGACTGCAACCACAGAATCATCTTAGAATCCTCTTACACTCACTACACATATCCATTCTATTGCCAAGTTTTGTAGTTTCTATCTTCATAACAAATATTTCATATTTTTGAAATGATACACATTTTAAAAAACATTAAAGGGTTAAAGAAAGTAGATTTCCAGGGGGGTGCTGAGTAATTTTTTATTAAAAGGGGGCAGTAGGCCAAATAAGTTTGGGAGCCTCTGGTTTAGTGCAAAGTGCTAGGTCTGGAAGATGTAGAAACTTTAGATAATACAGCCTCTATAAATATACAGTTATAATGTACAATGAGGACTTCAGTGAGATATAAAACGTAGCACCATGTGAAGTAGGAAGGGAAGCTTGTTAAGGGATTAGTAAGAAGACTTCCTGAAGGAAGTTGCATGAGAGTTTGGCTTTACAAGATGGGCAAGAGATGGGGCAGACTGTGGGAAACACAAGAGATGAGCCTGGGCAGGTGGGATAATGCCAGGACGGAGAGGGCCAATGGGCACCTAGACATTGTGCCATCCTCAACAGAGAGCCAATCTCAGGGGGAATGGGGGAAGGGACTTCCACATCCTTCTTCCCTACTTAAGAGAAGTGAGACGTATGCAACAGGTCCCTGGGATTTAAGGAGGGAGGGCCACAAACACCGCAACAATCAGAGAGAAAAAAAAAAAAAAGGAACCGCCCCAAGCCCAAGAGGGAAGCTTTCTTGCCTAGCCCTGCCAATCATTCTGGCCCCTGCCCTTTCCGTGCTACGATTGGTCAGCGGCTGGACAAACTGAAATATGATTGGCTATCATCAACAAACTCTAACCTCCGATGGGCCTTTATATACAGTGATTGAAAGGAACCCTGGCCCAACGCTGGCTGATGATTGGTCATTTTTCCTAGGGCTCTGCCCTATCCCGAAGGAGGCAGGGTACATAATCACTAGGTTTCACGAGCCGCACCTATACTACCTAGTGAAGTGGTTGGGCGAGGGTCTGTGTCTTTTTCTCTTTTCTCCCTCCCATAATACAGCGCTTAATGGAGCTTTCCTACCAGACTCTCAAAGTCACACACCAGGCGCGAGAAGCGGTGAGTAATGGCTGACAGAAAGAAGCAGCCGACTCTGAGCACTCTGCGCTGCCTTTCTTACACCCCAGAGAAGAAGCAGGTCGGGAGAGTCGCCCGTTGCTATAGTGACAACCAGACATGAGCCATCCTAGCGCAAGCGCAGAAAAGGCCCCTAAGGTTGAGCATATGCGCAGGCGTAGAGAGAATTTCGATTGGGATTCCAGATGGGGAGGGCCAGAGAGGGAGGAGGATGCGGGGTGATGCGCAGGATGAACAGGACTTGGGGGTTCTGTGCCAGGGTGCTCCTGGAGGGTTCTCTGGAAGAAGGCTATGACTTGTCCAGGTGGAGGGAACCTGCACCTGCAAGTCCTGTTTCCTTTTACATCCTCTGATAATCTGGCTTCACCTTAACCCTCCCAACTGTATCTACCGGCTGGTGCCCTTTAGCCCCATCTCTGCACAGTCTCCCCAGTATAAGTAAGACACAGCCATCCTGGCCTTCGTGCCTTTGTTTTTGCCTTTCAGTCCACCTGGCAAACCACCCCCGGCCCACCCCACGCCCTCAGCTTATCCATGACCTCCTCTTTCAAGACACCAAACTCAAGCTTCCCCTTCCCTGTGTAGCCATTTCAGCTCTTCTTGGGAGGGAAGGGAGCCTGGTGTTTGTTAGTGGTTTGAGTGTGGGACCTGGAATCAGGAAGACCTAGGTTCTAATTCCACCTCAGTCATAACCTCCTTTCTAGGTTTTTGTAACATTCTTTTCTCCTGGTCTAGGTGATCCTCTTCAGGTTTCCATTAACTGTGGATGTCCTCCAAGGCTCTGTCCTGGGCTTTCTTCTCTTTTCCCTCTCCTATCTCACTTGGTGATCTCATTAGCTCCTGTAAGTTCAATGATCATCAGTGCCCATCAGTAGAGAAATAGTAGCAAGTCTAGAGGTTATAAATGACTGTGTGATCTTGGGAAGGTCACTAAATCTCAGAGCTTCCAAGTTTTCTGTATAATGGGGAGTAATCATACTTATAGTATCTGCTTAACAGTGTTAACTTGAGACCCAGATGAGATCAATGTATGTGAAACACTATCCAAAATGTCTGTTCTCTGAACTCCTATAGCATTTATAGTATAATACTTTTAATGCTATGTATTGTACTCTTGATTGTTTCATTGATGTACTTTGTCTTCTCAATCAAGTGGTGCCTTATTTTTCCCTTGCATTCATCCATAACC